GGATTATGATATCTANATATATGTGTGTGTGTGTGGTGTGTGCTGAAAATCATACTTTTATGTGTATGAATTGGTAATTGCACGCTACAGGTATCAATATTGCTAACAGATATAGTTATCGTAACATTTATTTTTACGGCTTCGTACAATTTTTAGTTATAAAAACACCTTGAGTAACTCTTCTCTGCCTATACCTTTCGCTATTTCTTGTTCCAAATTAACAGTAAAAATTTGTCGATTACGCTGAGCTTTTAACAATGGACTTATGCCTCCATTTGACTAATTTTGATTTGACGCAGAATCATAAAAATAAAACTAAATTTTTTCAATTATTATCACATTCATAACATTGTACAAAATAACTGCCATATTAAAATAATCTGGATACCAAGTCACATAGGTATTCTTGTCAATGAAAAGGCCGATCAATTACCTTTAACAGCCCACAATGAACCCATACTAAATACAGCAATGATTTACTCAGACATTAAATCAATAATAAATAAATATATATATATACACATTATGGCAATATATATACACAACTCACCAGCGCTTTCATTACAACAAAATAAACATTCATTTATCATGTTATCGGAATTAGTAATCACATCTTCAAATATTTTTAATCTACATCTTATTGGATCAAATTCGTTTCCAATTGGTTTGCTTAACGTGTCCATGACCATGTAGATGAAAATTCCACAGTTGTGGCCATCCATCTGCTTTGGCAGTTCATAATGCGCTTCAAAGTCGAAATTTTTCCATGATTGTTTGTTAATTCTTTGGGACATACGTTTAAATCTTTTTTCAAATTGTTTGATTTGCAAAATAGATGATCCAAGAGAGTTATAGAAAAATATTTTGTTTAAATTATTATCTACAGTTATTAAACAGTAATGATTGTTGTTGACGACGAGTGGGAAAAATATGTAATTAGCATTAAAAGAATATTGGAAGATGGGGCTAGAACAAGTAAAATTTTTAAACATTACAGTAGTGGACAAGTTACAAGGTATATAGATTGAATTTGTAAACCAGTGAGACAAATAATCTAAAAGAACGCTACTTACCCATTTTTCTCCAATAACAGTCTGAAAATCCGAAAGCAACAACCTATCATTTCCTTTTTTGGCAACGTAACAATTTCTATTGACTATTTGCTCGTAATAGCATTTGTTGCTCGGAATGTTGGAATTTGTTATACAGATGTTGCTGTGGCCATTTGCACTTTGATCATTGCTGCAAATTATTGTGGGTATTTTAACGGTAACTATGCTGTTGAAATAACTTTTGAAAGGTTTACGTTTCCCCCAATAATTTTTCTCACATTCTTTTACCACTGTTTTTATTTTTCTTTTACGAGAAGCGGGTATTTGCAGTAGAATTTCTTTCGTACGCGCATCAACATGGTTTTTTAACAACTCCGCAAAACGACCTATTTTTAAATTTGTCGATCCATTTAGCAATTGGTGTTTAATAAACCTAAAACAATTTTCAACTTTGCTATTGCTTGTTCGTTCCCCGTTTTTATTCAAAAGAACTGTCCAAAGAGGCAAAATCGAAATT